TGTGTTACGTTCACTAATACGATCACATATTATCCATTAGGGATTATAGTTTCTAACATATTTATTTTAATAGTAATTAACTGTGGCTATGAACGCACGAGTTAAAAATTCCCCTGTGTGTAAATCCAATTTAGTTTAGCTGTTTAAATGTGACTAAGTAGCAACATCCAAATTTCTTTACAAAATTATATAATGCGAGTATTAAACAGATAATAGAGTCGATTTTCATTACATACAAATTTATATGCCTACGAAATAATAAAAAATAAAATATATTGATGAATTCTTGATAGTATTTCATATTTTATGGAGAAAAAAAATAAACAATAATACTAGATACGTAACATGTAAGTTTAAGTCTTCCTAAATACACCCAACTACATTTTACTAAACTATGGTGTCTATTATATTTTTCTGTTAACAACTGATCTATGTAAGAGTTATGAGTTATATTTTTAAAACTATGAAATTGACAAAAATAACATGAGCATAACTAAACAACTTAATCATTAGTTTCGGAACTGAAATTACACCAACTACATTTACGTTAAACATGGAACTAATTCCTAAACAAGAACTATGTAATAATAGATACTAATAGACTGCAATTTCTACGTCGTTTCAACATAGTTAACGAATATTGCAACTATATATTGTATCCAATGTCTAGAAGTGTAATATAACATAGTTTAAATTAATATCTACTTAAGATATAGTTAGGTAATAAAATCTGCGAGACCCAAAGATTAAATAAAGCAATTAGATACTACGCAAAAATATTGTCATTAATGTTGTTTTATTTCAAATTAATTAGAAAATTCGAAATAATTAGATTCACGTAAAACCAGTTCAAAACAGAAATGAATAACAAATGTTTTTATGTAAAAACATTAAAAAGAAATTCTTATGAGATATTATTAGCCAATTAATACTACCAGTGTATCTACTGACAATATTAGTTGACGCTAAGTGCTTAAGAAGGTACTTAGAACCAATTAATATTTAGATTTTTCTTTTTTTTGTACGATATGAGATTACAATTTCCTTATTTCTGGAATACTCTGATCATCAAACTTTTAAATATTTTTTTATAAGATCACAAATCAATATAATGAGATGTAGTTGAGATTATTTTGTATAAATGCCTATCTCCTTACCATAAGTTGTTAATTATGCATTTAAAAAATTGGAATAAATTAAATAGTCATAACATTGAACACTAAATTACTTACTCAAAACATAAATGCGAAAATGAGTTTGTTACCTTTTGGCGCCTTAACAGCTAAATCAATAACTTTGAAATTTGGTGTACACATTCTATATGAGATGAAGAAGAATAAAGGAAAGTTTATATCGCAGACAGTGAACATAGAAATCAACAATCATCATAGAAAAATATATATTAGATTTGTAACTTTTATTCGATAAAACATACTTATATTATATTATATTATATATATATATATATATATATATATATATATATATATATATATATATATATATATATATATATATATACTAGCTGATCCGGCAAACGTTATTTTACCATATACATTATTTTAAAAAATATATTACTTTAATAAAAAATAGCTATCACTATAAGTGTGTGGGGATGTACTTATAATTGAAAGAGGAATGAAGCATTGTACACAATTAAAGTAGCTAGCTGACCCGGTGTGCATATTTTTTCTCCTGTTAGATTTTTCTATAAAATTAGCGCATATTGGAGATCGTCATATGAGCGGTGAGTATCAGCAATAAACCGAAGATTATTTCTTCTTATTATAAAAATCTGTATCCGTATTCGTTATTTTTAGCAGATCTTAAACGAATCTTTTACTTTAATAAATATATATGACATGTATATAACAAACATATATGAAATTCTAATAACTAGTGGTCACCCAGTGGTCGTAATTCGACCATAATATACATATATTGTAATCTAAGAACAAGGAATCCGAAATTTTTGATTGTAGTAATTGAATTTATTATGGTTATGTTTGGCATTTAATCAGACAAATAATATTAAAAACACAAAATTAATCTATTCTTAATTTGACCACAGACTTCACAAAAAAGCATATATATACGTGTGTGTAAAATATATGGAATGTATTGTGTTTTTGTATATTGATTTAATGTATTTTTTATGTATAATTAAAAAAATGTTAGCGTTCTGCACTCTATATAAACTATAAGTGTGCCTTTCTTATTCCTTCGCCCGCGCAATTTTCGTAAAAAGGTTTACAAATTTTTTTCTTCGCGTATTAATATATAGATAAGTAATCGTTTACTATCTTAAAATATCTCCATAATTATACTTTAAACTTCTTGTAGGTATTGTTTTAATACTTAACTAGGTTTTGGTTAAGATTTCGTACACATGGGCATTGCTTTGTCATCTATTACTCTTATTAAGATCCCTCATATATTTTTTTCTTATATCTCCTACGTACTCGTAGATATTATGTATTCGTATTTAAAATTTTATTATTTAGTGAGAAAATCCAATAAATAGTCTACTTCTAGGTGGCATATCAAGATAAAACATACGCCAAAGTTTATGTAAAAAATTTTTAGTTAAATCTTCCGGAACACGAGTGATCCAATTTGGTGTAGGAGTTTATGTGTTATGTCAGATTAAACACACAAACAGACAACAAAATTTCTACGGCGCTTATTAAGACATCTCACATCAATTCTTTTTAAGTATCGTCTAACTACAGATATCATCCAATTTCAATTTTATTATATTAGGAGGATGTAATGCTATTTTAAATATACAAACGTAGTTACCCTATACTCTTCCGTGTTAAATGGATGGAAAAAAAGAAAAGAAAAACTCGCACAGTACAAATCAAAATGTTAAATATCAAAATGCAAACTGATAATTGCATAAAACGTAAAAAATATGATATTAAACCTGAAAAACGTAGCTCTTTTATACATAACATGGAAACAAACCTATTAGCGCATGTCAAACACACTCTCGTTAGAATTGTTTCAAAATTAATAGATAATTTATTTATGCATTCATTAGTTTTACGTAGTATTAGTATAGATACCAACGTCAATTACCGTAAGTTCGAATCTTGCAGATGCTGAAAGCAGCGTATAAGTTTAAATTTCCGATTATCTCTCGCGAGATGGAAACATCATTAATATATTAAATAATTTTAAAAAATGTAAAGGCTATGATAGAACAACAAAGGGAATGGGTTAACTGCCACTTCTGAGCCATAGGCCGTTTTGACTCGTTTTGTCAAAAAGTATTTGTTAACTTTAAATAAATTGTAAACTTGTTTAAGGTGATTGCAATAAAATGATGATTGTTATTAATCCGAGAATCGGTAGTAAGTTCGCCTCACATTTGTCCATAAATATTGAACATTGTTGCCAATGTAGACACGTAGACATGTCATGTTTACTGCGACGGTAACAATCTACATGCCCATATTTCGCCAAACAAATTTGAATTCAACATTCATATATTATTAAGTCTTGGGACTACCCCATCAGCTGTAAGTATATTTTTTCATTACATAGTAAAAAAGTTCTGAAATTATAGATTTGCCGACATTTATTTACTTTAACAATTAAAGATTGTGCCCCACAGAAAAAACCGACTCCAATTATGTCCAAACCAATTATTTTAATATAAAAGTAAACTACTGAATTGATTGTGATAATTTTTTTATGGGACAAATGTATGAGTATATCCTTTCAGATAAAAAAAGAATTTTCCAAATCGGTTTACTACTGATGGAGTTATAGAGTAACAACCATAAAAAAAAACCAATTTGAGAACCTCCTTCTTTATTAAATCTGTTGAAAATATAACAGTATTTTTTCACATTTTCTATTTTAAAGTGTTAAATAGAACAATTTCATATGAAGCCCGTTTTGTATTTTTTTTAATTAAGTATCCGTTTTGGTTTCCCTAACAAAGAAAGTAAATAGTATTTTCCAGCAATTTTTATTTTTTTTATTTATGATCAGATACTTGGCAATTTACTAACTGCGAAATATTTTATCAATTACTTCAATATGTATGAAGCGTTATTGTCTAAAACTACTACAAATTTAGAAGTTGTAATAGCATTAGGATTGTTTAGAAAATGTAGCACTGTAACAAACATGATGTATAGTATGTATAGTAGGAATTAAAAAGTTGAATTATTTATATAGCAAGGAATTAAAGTTATTTTTTTTTATCTACAATAGAAGTTTGGTATATATATATTCCATTTATCTCCACTTGACACACTATAGTAGTAATAGGTAAAAAAAAAATCCATTTTTATTCCCCAAAGAGGAAAAGTCTTTCTTCAAATCTCTATTCAAGTAATAAATAAGAAAGACTTGCACGTAATAATTTATAAGTCATAATTATTCTGTAAGGAAGTATGTATATTAAATACCATACTTTAATTATTATATATTAAAATATAAATATAAAGTGTTTCTGGCAAGAAATAAATTACGTTGTGATGATGGAAACAATAAGCAAATTATTTCCATCTGTTTCTATACGCCAAAATAGCATTTTCTATTTATAACATCCTGTCTAAACGGTAGGTAATGCTGTTTGTAGGTCTGTATGATGATGATGTATAATATCAAAGTTTTGTATTACTAGTTATATAAAGCTCTCCTAAAACTTTTAGAGCTTTATAAACATATGAATGTTGTCAGACTAGTTCTGTTTTATATTTCAGTATGAGTAACGCAGCAGTTTATCAATATAGGTATGACAAAGTCCGCCTGTTGCATCGTTTAGCGCTTCAATAATGACCCCTGACACCAACTGTTATTCAAAGAACTGTCGCTAAGCTTTAAATTTGTTATACCCATAACAAACAGTCAACGATTTTGCAACATAAACATTCGCTTATCCCGGCACACAATCGTGCGTTTATTTATAAAGTTTTGCTTACCAAAAGTTATAATTGGAATGAGAACAACAACACTTAAAGTTATAAAGTAATACTTACAGCGTATGTGTTTCGACTGGAACTGTCGGTATCGCCACCAAGTCTTGCTGCAAGCATCGGACTGCATTTCGGATGCACTGACATTTCGATGGACAAACGTGGTCGGATAAAACAAAAACGAACAAGTTAAAAAGGATCAAATACTTAAAGAGTCGTATTGAACCCATTGCATTTGGATTGGGATAATGTATGTATATTAGGGGTTTGAATGAACTATGGTGATAAGGTGAGTCGCGAATGCCGCTGCAGTGCAAGACTGCGAGTGCAGACTGCGAGCGGCTGAGTACGATTGACGAATGGCGAACAGCGTGAGGAGTCCGGAGGCGGACGCGGCGGCGGGATGCGGCAACAGCGTGCGGAGAGTGCGGAGCTCCTCTCTGCCCAACATATACCTATCAAATGATCGGTAGTAGTCCTTATCATCAAATATAAAAATAATCTACTTATAACCTCTAAGTATTTACAGAACGCCATAGTAAGCTTCTGGCATCCGTTCTAATTAGCACAATATTATTCAACACTTTGTTACACGGAAAAGTTACAGCATGATTAATGGTACGATAGGTATGACAGAAGTACTAAATTTATTTTGCTATTGTCTATATTATTTTTGTAATATCTACTTAGTCATTTACAACACGATATAAATTTCAAACAAAGTAAATTAAGATTATATTTATAAAACTGTATACATAACTTAAACGTACAAAAATAAAAAAATAATAATACATACAATTAAGCGGCGTACACCTCTGTATATAATTCTTCTTTTTCTAAAAGAAGATCGCCTAAAATCACCGTCAAAGTAAGTAGAAACAATTGCTTAAGTAATGATAAGCTCGCTTAGGTCTATCTGAGTATTCTGAGCCATACCACAAATAATATAATATGGAATACTTAGTGTGTAAAGGTACATTCGTAAATCCTTTACCAGAGGGAGACTTTGTACAAAAGTCGATTGCTTGGTTACGCTGTCCCATTCAGGTTTCTATCGTGAAGCAGTTGTGTTTACATGGCTGTGTTTCGGTTTGAAGGGTAGGATATGGCGTAAATTTACAGAGTACAGAGGAATCCTCGAATACCTGAGTCCTCAGGAATGGCAACGCATGGGGAGTATCATGGGTGAAACAGTATACTCTGTTATGTCCATGGTACTGCTCATATCTATAGGCGACGGTTACCACTTTCCACCAGGTGGGCCGTCAGATTGTTTGCCATTCTAAGTTGTATAAAAAAATCCTTACTAATATTATAAATGTGAAAATGAGTTTGTTTGTTTGTTGGTTAAACCATTGAGGTATATAATAACCTTAATGGCTTAACCAAATATGAAATGTGGTATATGTACATGTGTTATACACAGGATGGAGAAAGATATAGGCTACTTATTGTCCCGGTTAGTAAATATACCACGGTCACGCGGACGAACTCATGGGTTAAAACTAGTAGCAAAATAAATTGAAAACCGTTCCACGAGGAACCATTTCCTAAAAATTTATAAATGTATATTCATCATCGTTTATTTTAAGTCATTTAATTTACTGTATGCATGACTGTGTTTATCTGATAAATAAATATAATAATAAAACTGTTTTATGTAAATAAATAGTAGTAATTCTAGCTAGGGCTACAAAAAATTCAAATAGTGTAAGTACGCTATTGTTATTGTTGTATTTTTTATTTTAAATACATTTTCTAATTCGTTACATATTAACGATATCTTTTCGTAATTCTGTTGTTTATTTAACGAAATAAAATTCAGCAATACCCTGTTACCCTAATATAGAATTATAGTTATTTATAACTTACTTAAAAAATGCTCATTGCTATCTTCAAAGGTTAAAGTTTACATTGCTATTATGATAATTATACCAACTTAACACTAGACATTTACGTCCTCTTTTGTTGCTAAGGTTAGTAGGTACCTATAAAAATACAGTTTATTGTGCCCATTTTAATACTGTTTTAACCTCCAACATAATGAAGGATTTTACATATATAAACTAATTTTAAATTCAAAGCCTTTATTTGTGTATTTGTAAAATAATAGTCGACAAACGAATATTTTTATTTCACGATAATTTTCACTGTGATCACATTATGGTCACCTGACTGGGTATATTGTTAAAAATGGGAACTGGTGTTCCCATTACTAACAATCCCTTTCCCCTTAATAAATACGGATATTGGAGAAACCTCTGCCCGTGTCTCCATCTACGCACGTTTTCAATTTCACGTATACCTAATCACTCACTGGTACCCCGCCTTTGCTATCGGTATATGCTGCTATAAGCATTCGAATTTCATCATTTAAAATTAAAAAAAAAAGAGTGCGAGCAAGACGTGTTTTTGAACACACTACAATGTAATTGCTCTCTCTTCTTTCCATCGACTATATGGTCGCATTATGTCTTTATTACAGAGAACAAATGCAGAATGTATAGTGTGCCCCCTTGAAAGATGGAGAAGAAAAAACTGGAATAAATTCGCCCTAGCCACAAGTCGGTGCTGCAGGGATTATAGTCGAATGGTGCTCCCGAAATTTGACAAGAAGATCATCTCATCTCCCCCATGACTAACGGGTCTCGGATGTAGGTGGGAATAATGGGAACTAATGGCTCCATTGTTATCAAAAACAAATCAATCTTATTGTATTTATTATGAAATTTTAATTACACAATTACAAATTAAACATCAATTATAACATAATCAATTTTTATCAAAAACAATACCTTGGAGTAAATACAAATGGTTATTGAGTTAATTACAGACAGCATGGAGTATTTTTGGACAAAGCCTCAGATCATTTACTACACTAATATACATATTTTATTATTTTTATTTCAGCTGTTAACTGTCCACTGCTGGACATAAGCCTTCTCCATAAGGGGAGTTTTGCCAATAGTAGCCACGCTTGGCAGGCGGGTTAGCAACCGCAATTAGGCCTTTGAAGATATTTTAAGAGAGACGCTGCTGCCCATCTCTCACCCTCCCTTAGTCGCCTCTTACGACACCCATGGGAAAGGAAGGGGTGGTCCATTCTATGCCAGAGCACATACGGCGAATTCACATGTATACTAATTAAGTCGCAAATAAATCCTCGAGAAGAAATCCCAGCAGTATAGATTGTATGAACCTAGTTCTTACAACACATAATGATAATCTAATCTCAAACAAACACACAATGTATGTAATTATAAAAAATAATTATCATTATCTTAGTCACTTTCAAAATTTCTTAACTTTCAAATTTAATGTTTCTTAGTGTCTTTTGTTTGCTATTTGTAGTTTTTTTTCTCTTCAATAAAACTACAAATAACAATTTAATATTTTATTCAAATTCTTCTATTTCAGATTGTATCGTTCTTTTTCTTCTAGGTTAACATTTTCCGGTATGCTGGTGAAAATGACAATTTTTTTTTTTATTTTTGACTAACATTTTGTTACGATTAAACTGTCGAGTTTGTACATTTAGTACGCTAGTTAGTGGCTTTGAAGAAAATTAATTCGTTTGACTTGTCATTGTTATTATATCAGCCGTTAACTATCCATTGCTAAGAATAGGTCTTTTCCATAAGGGAACTTTTGTTACTAATTCCATTAAGTTCCCTTAGTATAATCGACTTAAATCGACTTCCCTTAATCCACTTGTCATACTTTGGTTTAAATCAGCATGATTCATACCTTCATCCATGCATACTATATTTATAGGTATTAGGTGTAAAACATCAATATTGCTAACACGTTACTAGAGTTAAGATGCTTCTTGAAGTACTAATACTAACTACATTACAAATAAGTTGCGATTCATTATGCGGCTCTCTTTGGCTTTAATAATCAACATTAGTGTTTCTGCTGTCAAATGAAATTTCAGGTGCATATCATCAGAACTAACGAAAGTTCTTTTGAATTTATTTGCCATAAATTCATTTATGATTCTGGCATAGAATATGCCACCGCTTCCTTTCCCGTGGGTGTCGTAACAGACGACTAAGAGAGCTTATGGTGGAGGGATGAGCAGCAACGTCCCTCTTAAAATATCACCAAAAGGCAACTGCGGTTGCCAACCTGCCTGCCAAACGTGGTAACTACTGGCAAAACCCCCTTTATGGGGCTAGGCTATATTCAGCAGTGGACAGTTAACGGTTGATATGATGATGATAATGATGTCAACAAGCGCGCTCGTCTAATTTTCATTATAAAATTTATGAAGTTATTGATGCGTTTAGATATTATTAAAAAGTTTTACGATGTTTTCAATAGTTTAGGAAGAACCTAGTTAAATAAGTTTCTACTTAAAACCTATTTTAATATAAATTCAATTAAAAAAAATTTGTACCTACATACTTTTCACATTATTTTGTACTTTTTGTTAAAATTAATTCCGTTTTAAAATTAATCTCATGGAAAAATTAGAATAAATAATTGGTTTAATATTATTTCACAAGTGATGTTAAAATGGTTACACTTATATTGTTTTTAATCCCCGCTCATTTACTTACTATATAAAACCACAGGTAATATAAAATACTATGCTAGTAATAAAACAGAAGTTAGTGCCTTCCGTGTACCTGTGTACCTAAAGTTTGTAGACGTATATGTATATATTTTATCACAATGTTGTTTTTAGTATGTATGATGTATGTATTAAAACATACTAGGTATAATCAATATTCAAATAAAGGAAGTGACCCAACGCAAACTTTTTATATTCATAGACCGTAGTTTTATTGTTGTACCTTATCTAGGTGGGTTTAACGCAAAATTTAATTTACCTACCCGTTTATTATTTTATTTTACATTTGACACTCCACTTTTCATTTATTTCATAGAACTAATAAAAATCAACTTAAAAATGCGTAAAATAAACTTTCTAATTATAGTTCTTTTGTTATCCGCTGATATTAAAGGATTAATTAAATGAAAAATAAAACTGTGAAAATAAAAATATTAAATACATGAATTTCTTTTTTTATACAACTTAGAATGACCCACCTGATGGAAAGTGGTAACCGTGGCCTATAGACATGAGCAGTACCATGGACATAACAGAGTATACTATTATGCCCATAATACCCCTCATGCATTGCCATTCCTGAGGACTTAGGTGTTATTCGTCTGTAAATTCACGCCATATCCCACTTTTCAAACCGAAACACAGCCATGCAAACACAACTGCTTTACGGTTGAAACACGAATGGGACAGAGATAGCCAAGCAAACGACTTTTGTACAAAGTCTCCCTCTGGTGACTTTGTACAAAATTTGTACAACTCTGTGAAAATAAAACGCAGTAAAAACAAAAATATGAAAAGAGATTAGTCATAATATATATATATACAATAGGGACTTATAAATACTTACACTTAACAGAAATGGTGGGATTAT